TGCCCAGGCGGGTCTCGAACCCGCGGGCTCAGGCAATACACTCACCTTGGCCTCCCAAAGCACGGGATTACAGGCTGAGCCACCGAGTCCGGCGAGATTCTCTCTTAAAAAAAATAAAATGAAAGAAAGAAAAAAAAAAAGGAACATCCTAATTAATGAATTAATTTCCTGCTTAACCAAAAGTTTCAACTTCTGTTTCTCAAGGATCCACCCTTTACCCTGTACCAGAGGTTCATAATCTGTTCTGTGTTATGGACCCTTTTGGCAGTATTATGGACTGAAGTGTGTCTCCTTAAAATTCATGTTAAAGTCCAAACCCCCAATACCTTAAAACATGACTGTATTTGGAGATAGGTCTTTCTTTCTTTCTTTTTTTCCCTAAAGAAATGAGGTTGTGCTCTGTCACCCAGGCTGGAATGCAGTGGTGTAATCATAGCTCATTGTAGCCTCGAACTCCTGGGCTCTAGCAATCATCCCACCTCAGCCTCCCCAGGAGCTGGGACTACAGGCATGTGCTACCATGCCTAGCTTTTATTTTTTTGTTATGACAGGGTCTCACTATGTTGCCCAGGCTGGTCTCGAACTCCTAGGCTCAAGTAATCCTCCCACTTTTGCCTCCCAAAGTGCCAGGATGATAGGTGTGAGCCACTGCACCTGGCCGAGAAAGGGTCTTCAAGGTATTTAAGGCCAGGGTGTCTCATGCCTGTAATACCAGCACTTCAGGAGGCCAAGACGAGAAGACTGCTTGAACCCAAGACTTCCAGCCTGGGCAACATAGCAAGACCTCATCTTTATAAAAAATTTTTAAATTAGATGGATGAGGTAGGGTGTGCCTGTAGTCCCAGCCACTCGGGAGGCTGAGGTGGAAGGATTCCCTGGGTCCAGGAGGTCAAGCTGCAGGGAGCAGTGATCTGATCATACTCCAGCCTGGATGATAATTGAGTGAGATCCCAACTTAAAAAAAAAAAGTCATTATAAGCTTTGTTCAAAAAAATAAAAATTATTTAAGTTAAAATAAGATCATTAGGATAGGTCCTAATCCAGTATAACTAGTGTCTTTAAGTGATGAGGAAATCTGGACACAGACGTGTAAGGAAGAAAGACCATGGGAAGACACAAGGAGACAATTATCTACAAAGGAGAGAGGTCTTAGAAGAAACCAGCTCTGTTGACAATTTAATCTCAGACTCTAGCCTCCAAAACTGAGAAGATTACTTTCGGTTGCTTCAGCCACAGTATAGTATTTTGTTTCGGCAGCCCTACAAACTAATACAGTCAGTTTAGGAAATGTGTGACTCCCTTCTTAGAATGTTTTTAATAGATTATAAGAGAAGCCAATTATAATAAAATATAGCTCTACCGACACACTTTGGGAGGGCCGAGAATCACACGGTAGGAACCCCCCCCTTTCTCAGGCAATTTACTATCACAGCTTCAGCTTCTCCCTAAATACTCATCATTCCAACTTCAGATCTTTTTCTCAAGCTCTAACCAGTGCCCAGATCCATATCCCGAACTTCTTACTGGACATCAATATCAACCATCTGAGGTCTCCGGGGTGTCTCAAACTCTACACATCCGAACCACTGTTAATCTCGGCATTGCCTATCCCAGCTGGTGACTCCCGTTCTCAAAAGCAAAAACCTGAGTTATTGTGGACCTTCATCTTCTAAGTTCTGCCAAAATTTCTGCTAAATATTTCTCAAATCCGCTCCTCTTGAGCACCATTGCCGCTGCCTCCAGGGGCAATGGAATGAGCTCTTATCTCAACGCGGAACAATTTCCTACAGGTATTTATTTGTCTGTCTCTTTACCTTCTCCATCTTCCCTTCAAATTGCTGTATCATGCTCTTTCAAAATTGAGACTCTAATCATCTGGGACACAGATCCTCCAATGAAAATGAGGGGGTGAATCATTCAGTGGTTTCTCATCACCTACAAGATAAAATCCAAATGGTTCTAGCCAGGTGATATTCATGGCCTGGCATAATCTGGCAGCAGCCTCACTTCTCACCTCATACGCTAGTATTACTGAATAACGTCATTTCCTGAACATACCACGCCCTCTCACTCGGCTAACCTCTGCATATGCTGACCGCTCCCACCATCATCCCCATCACCTCTCTTGACTTCCCCACACTGAGTCAATCAGTTTCTTGTCTGTTACCTTTGCACCTTCTATATGTTGTTATTAATGAGACTACTTCACTGAATCACAGTTGCCATTTCTCATCAGTGTAAGATGATACCAACTATAAGATACACCAGTAGTTCATGTATCACTAAGAAAAAAATATTGCACCAATTAAACTCTGCCACACCATCAATATTCAGACACATTCCAACTTGAACTATTTAAATGTGGAAAAAAATGTACAACTAAAAATAAATAAAATATGATGTCTTAACTGACTCATATACACGAACAGCTTTTTCTTTTTTGAGTTGGAGTCTCACTCCACTGTCCAGGTTGGAGTGCAGTGGCATGCACACTCATGGCCACCCCGTTGACTTGCTGGGCTCTGGTCATCCTTCCACCTCAGCCTTCCAAGTTGCCGGAACTACAGGTGCGCACTACCACGCCCAGCTAATTTTTTATTTATTGTAGAGATGAGGTCTTGCCAAGTTGCCCAGGCTGGTCTCGAACCCGCAGGCTTAGGCAATCCACTCGCCTCGGCCTCCCAAAGGGCTGGGATTACAGGCTGAGCCACCAAGCCCTGCCAAGAACAGCTTCCTGAAGGTAGTAGAGCCTATACCTGGCACACAGCAAGCACTCAAAAAAACATTTTTGTGAAATGAAAAATCTAACAAATCAGTTAATTTTCTTGTCCTAATTAGTATGGTAAACTGAATTTTAAAACTCAATTCTTACAATTTTACATATGTTCCTTTTCAAGGATGGAAGATACTTCTAATTCCTGTACCTTGTTTTGTGAAAAGTCAAGCAAGCACCAATGAATTCAAAGTAGAAGAGTGCAAAGAGACATAGGAGGCTTAGTATCGTTACCACAGATTTCTGGATGTTTAAACCTAGGATGCAACTTCCAGTGGGTAAAAATCTTCAAGAACTGAATCCCTTTTCTACTACCATGCTCATTTCCATTTTTTGGAGCAGTCTGATGTGTTTCCCCAGAGTAAATGACTTCCAAGTTTAGGGGTGATGTGATTTTCTGGGGAAACGCAAAGGAATGATGGCAATTTTCTAATCTGATATTAAAACATTCCAGTGCAATAATGAAGACTAATGACTTTGCCTTAGTCCTTAGGCAGGGAGGTTATCTTATTTTTGTTTGGATCAGAGTGCCACCAGAATTGGAGACCATCTCACGGAGAAGATGATTTTGAAACATGTCTAAGGTTAGAGATTTAGGGGTAGGGGAATGAAACACTGATGAAATTAACACTTTATCAAAGGGGCTGGCAGCACACCTGTTTATTTTTATCATGTAAAGGAATCTGAAGCAGAGAGGCATCACGAGGTGATTATAAGAGCAATAAGTAGGTCCTGAAACCAGTAAGAAAGTACTGAAATCCAAATGAAGTATGCATTATACCTAACACTAAAGATGAGTGTTAGATTTGGTCAGAAATAATTATTAGAATAAGACAGCCATAAATTTTAAAATTTAAGCTACACAGATTTTTGTTGTTGTTGAGTTGTAGTTTCACTCTGTCGCCCAGACTGGAGTGCAGTGGCACAATCACCGCCACCCCAGTGTCGACCTGCTGGGCTCTGGCGATCCTTCCACCTCAGCCTTCCAAGTAGCTGAAATTACAGGGCGTGCTACCATGCCCGGCTAACTTTTTTTTTTTATTACTGTAGAGACAAGGTCTCGCTAAGTTGCCTGGACTGGTCTTGAGCCTATGGGCTCAGGCAATTCACTCGCCTCGGCCTCCCAAAATGCTGGGATTACAGGCTGAGCCGCCGAGCCTGGCCTACACAGATCTTTTAAATAAACAAGCAGGTTAAAAATGGAGTTTATTAAGTTAATTACTCAAAATTTAAGTGGGAGGTTTGGTTGCTTTTAATAGGAAACTCTTTGGAAAATACGAATCACCATCAATACTGAAGATACAGTGGTAGCTCAAACACAAAACATATGCTTATTTCTTGCAAGTTTTAAATACTTTACTGGTGAAACAGATTTTAAGACATATTCCTCTACATAAGCCAATAAGAAGCAGAATGTTTATTCTAAATTACCTAAACCATACCGACCGGATCATGCTGTGGTTATACACTTGAAAAAGTACTTACAGAGAAAAAAACAAACATTAAAAAAAAAAAAAACAGGCAGGGGTTTTTCTGAAATGTCTTTTCTTTATCCTAGAGATCTCTGTCCCTGACTTACTAGGAAATTATGTAACTTTGGGCTGGTTACTTACTCTTTTCTAAACTTCATTTTCTTCTTCAATAACATGGGGATAGTAGTACCTGCTACTATGGCTGTTGTAGATTAAATGAGATAATGCATGGGTAAATGAAATGCAAGTAAAGCCTTTGGATCGTTAGTGGCTCACAGGATGCACTCAATAAACGTCAGCTGCTAACAGTATTCTCTGCTTCTATCCTAGTCTTATTAAAATATGGCCTGTAAGGAATAATGGACTGCCTCCAGATCCTGGATCAGTGAGCCAGAAGGTTGTAAATACAGTCAATAGAATCTACAAAGCAAAAGCACACAGACCCAGCTTTTCTGTCAGACATGCATCCTCAGACAAGGAAAAGGTAAATCATGAAATCCCTCTAAGTGGCCAAGAAAGGTGGCTCATGCCTGTAATCCCAACACTTTGGGAGGCCAAGGCATGAGGACTGCTTGAGCCCAGTAGTTCGAGACCAGCCTAGGCAACATAGCAAGACCTTGCCTCTACACAAATAAATAAATAAAAATAAAAATTTAAAAAATCCTCTAAACCTTCTCCAAAGGTCTAAAAATGGAAAAACTACTGACTCTCACATTGAGAAATCAAAAACAAAGACATATACAAGGAGGAAGGAGATGGTGAAGGTCAGCATCCCAACTCAGGAGAGTCTCTGAAACTATACTCCCCAAATTAAAAACTTTGAAAACCTTGTTTTTGTTATATCCTACCTATATAAAATGCCATCCTCTTCAGAAACGCATCATTACTAGAAACAGTAACAATAGCAATGCTCTGGAATTGTCTTCTGGGTTTCTCACTCATCAAACATAAACCAAAATATGAATCACATAGATCATCTAGGGATCTTGCCAAAAAAAAAAAAAAAAAAAAAAGCGGAGTCTCTAATTCAGTAGATTCAGGGTGCGGCTTGAGAGTCTGTACGGCTTGCAGGTGATGCTGACACTGCTCATCTAAGGTCCACACTGCAGCGATGTAGCATTATCTCATTTAACCTTCACTACTACCCCATGGGACAGGAATTATTCCACAAATGAGGCGCCTGAAATTGGGAAAAGTTAAGTAAATGGCCCAAGACCAAAACGCTAAATAGGGAGGCTGCTATTTCAATCCAGGTTTGTGTAATAATGCCAGCCCAGGGTGCTCGTTGCCTCACACCACACACTACCCAAGCAAACAGAAAGAACAGATACCCAAGACCCCAGTCAAACTTCTGGGCGTCCTTAAATGACACGTGTGCCCAAATTAATTCCAAACAGACCCGTCCACGAGTCACTCTGGGGACGCCGCGGCAACACATGGGCAGCAGCTGCCTAAAGGTGCGAGGCGGCGAGGGCGCAGGGCGCGGGCGGGGAGGAAGCTGCACCGCGAGAGCCTCCCTTCCCCGGCCAGTCCCACGTTGCGCGTTCGCTTTGCCATCCACGGGACGCGGCGGAGACCTCCGTCCACGCCTGCACACTGCCGGAACCCTCCAAGTTTACGCGGGCACACCCCGCCGGAGCCGAGATCCGGAGACACTCGGG